ATGGTTATTATTATTGCTTTTTAATTTTGTAGTCCTAACAAAAAAAAGCCTTGGATTTGTTTTACATTTGTTCCACTAGCTCAAGCCTAATTTGCTTTCTCTGGGAGACATTTCTTTGTCTTTTCATCTGTTCATTAGTTAATTCTCTTACTTACCCATGTTCCTCATTTAGCAAATATTCATTGAGTACTACTTTAGGCATTCTTCTAGGCATTAGAACTACATTAGTGAAAAATACAGATAAAAACACTTGCTCTCATGTTTAGGAAGTTTATATTCTAGTAGAAGAACAAAAACAATAAATAAGATAAAAAGTAAAGTATATATCATTTAAAATCTAAGGGGAAAACACAGGAACATTCATTATATTAAAAATTAATTTCTTAGTCACAGAAAATAAAGGTAACCTGATATGATTTAGGAGGAAGGTTTCAGTGAATTAGACCTTCAGTTACCATGTACTAACTAGTAGATACGCTGATGGTGAAAGCCACTTGTGCCTTCTATAGAATAAAATGCTTCAGTAATAACAATTTGTATTACTTACTAAAAGAAAATCTTCTCCCATACCAAAATTGTTGCCTGAATGAGCAAGGGTTGAGGGGGTAAAGAAAAAATTGTACATAAATGGAATAAAACTGGAAAAAATACAAAGAATCAGATAGAATATCCTTTCATAAGAATTGGAGAAGTAGTTATTGAGAACTTTCCCAACAGTCATTAGGCTTTCCAGTTGGAATATCAACTATTTGTTAAAATTTCATTTCCTTCTTCATTGTCCTGAAATGTCAAACCTCAACTTGGCACAGCCTGTTGGAAAAACAGCTAGGTGAAATAAACAAACTAAAATTTTTACTACTCATCCAATTCAATCTAGCATACATTCTAAATCTTATTTCTCATTATCCTATCTATAAAATACCAAACTAATTGTCTTTTTTTGTCTAACAGGTATACTATAAGATTCTGAAGCCCTATTCTGTAGGAGTAACTGTGATCTAGAAACAGCTCCAGTGTTACAGTGACTGAGGACCCAATTCTGGAATTTGTTCAATTTCTGATTTACTGTGTTTATGAATAGGCAATGGTTCTATCCTATTTGTCTTCCAGAGCAAAAATGCATATTCTCAGTAGATACTGAAGTCTCACTAACTGTTACTATTTTTTGTATACTTGGGCTATCAGTCAAATACTACCAGGTTTATAGGAAGAGAGGTAAGGCCAAAAACTAAAAGAAACAACCAACAGTGTTAACAGTCCCAAAAGGGACTCATATAATAAAGTTGCATTTCATAGACTTTAAATAAGTACAAATAAGTTATTGAAAAAATTATAATAAAAGTGAGGTAAAAGAAAGTACAACAGAAACAAAATTCTCAAATTTGAAAAACGCAACTGATTTTAAGAATTAAATATGTGAGATGGCAAATTAGATGTAGTCAAAGAAGGACTAAAAGTAATTTCTAACCTAAGTTTCAATAAGCAGTGAGCATATTATAAAACAGCATGGAAGTTCCTCAGAAGGAAAGAGAGAAAGAAGGAAGGAAGGAAGGAAGGAAGGAAGGAAGGAAGGAAGGAAGGAAGAAAGAAAAAGAAAGAAAGAAAGAAAGAAGAGCTATTATATGATTCAGTTATCTCACCAGTGGGCATATTACTTAAAGGAAATGAAATAATCATGTAGAAGTGATCTTCACATTTCCATGGTGGTTGTAGTGGTATCTACAATATCCATGAAAGAGAAGCAGGTATGTTCACAAACTGGTGAGTGGATAAGAAAAATGTACTACACAGAAGCTATGGAACACCACTGCACCACAAAAGGAATGATAGCCTGTCATTTGTGGTAACATGGATAGAACTAGAGATTGTAATGTGAAGTAATCCAGGCACTGAAAGACAGGTAACACATAATCTCACTCAGAAATGGAGACTAAAAATGTTGATATCATAAAAGTTGAGAGAGAATTGCTAGAAGCTGGGGAGAGCAGTTAGGAGGAATGTTAGGGGAAGACTGATCAGTGAGAACTAAGATAAAGTTTGACAGGAACAAGATATTCTGATGTTCTGAGATGCTATTGCAAATGAAAGTGATTACAGAAAATAATAATTCGTTGTGTCTCTTGCAAAGTTACAAGAAAGTTTATTGAATGTTTTCACTGCAAAGAAATGATAATTGTTTGAGGAGATGGATATGTTTAACCAGATTTAAACATTACATCATTTATATATGCATGAAAAGGTCACATGATACCCTACTAATGTGTACAATTGTGAAGTTTTAATGTATCATTTAAAGTAAATTCAATTTAAATTATTTTTTTCTGAAACATTATTTTGTTGCATGAATACAGTAAAAGTATTGCATATTCGTGACAATAAGAACTATAGAGGTGATAGTGTCAACATTTCTGAACAATTTTTTTGTTTGTTTTCTTACTTTAAAGAGAATAAGAAAATATTAAAATGATACAGAATTTCAAAATAAGATGGTAGGGAATCAATACTGGCTGTTATATTGTATATTGTTTTCTTTAAAGTAGTTTCTGAACAATTTCTTAATCAAAAGAAGGAAAGGGAATTTGATCAAGCTTATAAAATAAGCAATGCAGATTAATTATTTATACTGATTATTGTTAGGTAAAATGAAGTCAACAGTACATTCTCAACATCAAATAAGTTTCATGTTAGCCATCAAGCTCTTCTGCTCTGAGTTACCAGGGAAAATGTGGACAATTAAATAGTACCCTTGTGTTTATATACTTCACATGGGTTTTGTAATGCCACAAAACATTCCAAATTCTTATTACATAATGATCTAGCTAACCGAAAATAATCATTTATCATCAATTAAATCACAGAAAACTTCATTTGCAATTTTCCTATTTTTATTTTTATTTTTATTTTTTTTTAAATTTTCCTATTTTTAAAAAAAATTTTCCGGTGAATGAATCATTTTTTATTTTTATTTATTTTATGAAATATTTTTATTCATATTAATGATAAAAAAGATAAAATAGCAATGAAGCAGTTTCAAAACAGATTAATAGGACAGTTATGATAATTAATGCATTGCATATTGTTATTTTCATAGTAGTTATTCAGAGGATAAGATGCAGACAATGAAAATATGCCTGAAAATTAAGAGTGAAATAAAGCTGTACTAACAAAAGCAACTGAAAGCACTCATCACTAAAAGAAAACTTGAAGGCAGAAAAAATTATTCCAAATGGAAGCTTAGAAATATAGCAAAGAAGGGCCAAGGAAATAGCTCAGTAGAATAAACACTTGCTTGGCAAGCGCAGGGTCCTGAGTTCAGTCCTCGGTACTGAAAAAAAATTATAGCAAAGAATATGCAGCAATGAAAAGGTAACAAACTGGTCAATTTAAAATATAAATCAGATATAATCAGAACTAAAAGGATAAGTAGAAAATTCACAATCCTTATGAGTTTAAAATACTTCTGCCAGTTTCAGTTTCAATTGCAAGAGGATTATAAATCTAACAATAAAATAATAACAATTACTGTGGATCGTATAGGAGAATACTTCATGATTTGAGGATTAAGGAAAGTTTTGTTTAGTACGGTATGGACAACGACTTACTTATGTCAGAAGGATTATCAAATGAAATTAGTAGAATTAGAGGTTCCTGCACATAAAAGGCACCACTAACACAATGAAAAGCCAAGTCATAAGGTGGAAGAAGATATCTGCAACACGGATAACCTGCACACACTGTATCCTGAACATATAAAAAAGCCTTTTAAATTAGTCAATGGTTATTGCAAAACTCACATGTCAGAAATTTTACTAGTGTCCTTAATCCCAGATCTGGTAGAAGATATTTGCCATTGATGGGAAGAAAGTACTAAAATAAATTTGTTTATGTAAAACAAAGATTTGAAAGTGATCACTTAAGTAAATCAAAATAATATGTCCAAAGTCAGTAATGAAGGAAGTTAAATGGTTCATTACTTTAGAACTGCTTATTTCAATCAAGTGTAGAAAAACAGTGGGAATTGGACTACTCAAAGTCATCTCTATGAAACAATATAGGAAAAATAAACATTGGTTAAATGATGTAGACCACCAGATATATGTCTTCAACAGAACAAAACTCTCTGTTCAAAAATGTTGGAAATGAAATGTCATGACTATTACCACACTACTCACTTTTCCTCCCAAGAAGGTCTCTTAATGCCTATAACAGGATAAGCTAGTTAAGGGGAAAGACAGGCTGAACTAAACCGAATTAAACAAGCTGTAGTAATGCTGACATCTTATACCTCAACTATAGCAAAGACAGCTCAACACTGAGTTACCTTGGAATGCGATTATGAGGTGACTTCTAGAATCATGGAGATAATTAGATATTGGGAATTGAAAACATACCAATTGATTCAGAGGAGATTTCTCCAGAGGATAGGAATTTGGTAGGTCCCAGAGGTAAAAACAACTAAATCATGTTTAGATTCTAAGTTGAATTAGAAAACAATTCTCCTCACATATATTCAAACTAATAGAGTGAAATCCCTGCTCCTTACACAGGCACAGGCTAAACACAGTGGTGAATAGCAAGGTTCTCCATTTGCCTTTTCTCAGGGAAAGGTAGGTTTGAAGAGAAGAAATTCTGGAAATAGTTCGGCTGTGTGTTCTTAAATGTGACAAGCAGGCTGCACATTCGATACTCATCATGCCAGTCACTCTCAAATGTAAGAGAATGTCTCAGGAAAATTGTGTCTTCTGAGAAGCAACGTGGATCAAAAGTGTGCTTTGAATCAGTCTCTCTCTCTCTCTCTCTCTCTCTCTCTCTCTCTCTCTCTCTCTCTCTCTCTCTCTCTCTAATCTGAGCCCTGCTAAGGCATTGCTGAACCTGTGGTCGAGTTGTACTTTAACTGCACTGTTTATTCCTAAATTTAAAATGCTACTGTTTTCTTTTTCCAACATCAGTCCCTTCATCCATCAAATCTCCACTTTCCACAAGAGGGCAAAAATACTCACGCAACTTTGGCACACACAGTACACTTCCAGCTGCCATCGAGGTCCACGACCCGGCACTCACTGCACACCCTCAGTGAGCAGGCCTTGCATGGGTCTCCTCGGTCAAAGATTAGGCCCAGGTTTCTCTGGCAGTGTACACAGACTCTGCTGGTCTCCTGTTGGGTCTTCCCACTTCTACGTTTTGCTTCTAAGAGTTCATTTTTCAGCTTTCTAGAAAGAAAGGAAAAAGAAAACCTCACTCTAAAAATCACAGAGAAGAGCCGACCAGATAGCTCAACAGATTAAAGAGCCTGCTTAGGCAGATGCAGGGGCTGGGGTTCGAACTCTCGAATGCTGTGCTGGCGCCCCAGGGGTGCACTGAGAGGGGGACTGAGACTGGGCATGGTGGTGTGCATCTTTAATCCCACTGCTTGAGAGGCTGAACAGGAGAACAACTGAGTCTGATCTGTGTAGTGAGACCCTGTAGCCTACTTTTATACTAAATACAAAAATAAAATAAAACTAAAAAGAATAAAATTCACAGAGAATCAGATTTCATATTTGAAACAAGGAATCAAGCCAAATGCTTTGAAGAAATAAATTTTCTCTCTCCAAAATCTATTGTCCTTTGATATATATATTTTTAACATTTTTTTTTTTGTGTGTGTGTGTGTGTGTGTGTGTGTGTGTGTGTGTGTGGCCAGCTCAGCCCACCAGGGGGAGGGGCTGGCTGGCATGTGGTGCTGGGGGATTGAACCGCGGTCCCTGTGCTTTGCCAAGCTTGTTCCAAGTAGGTGCTTTAGACCACTGAGCCATCTCGCCAGCCCTGTCCTTTGATATTAGCACTTGAAAGATACAGTGATATTTTGCCTTAGACATCCTCTGCTAGCAGTATTTTGCTATTAGTACTCATCTACATTCTACTTTAATTTGCCTAAGATCCTTAATCTTGTAGTGCTGGAGCACTGCTTCCTCCATGTAGTAGTGCTGGCCGACTTATGCCATGTGTGCCACAGTGGACTGTTTGTATCTTTGAAAGCTCTAAAAGGTTTGGTAACATTGAGCATACATAGTACCATATTCTTTGTCTGCCTAGATATGCTACATGAAGCAATAGTGCAATTAATACTTTCCATAAAGCAATCTGATGATTATGCCTATAAAGACAATGCCTACTATCTCAGATCTAAACACTTCTGCTTGCATTTGAGAGTTTCTAAAAATTCCCATTAACCTATGGATTTTCCATTCTGATAAGTCTGAGTCTATACTCAATCATAACTTATCTGTCCAGTAGTAGCGATGATTTATCCACTTACTCTCAGTCTCTTCATTTTAAAATGAAAGTAGTAATATACTTTTGTTTATCTTTTGGTGGAACTGGGGATTGAACTTAAGCCCTTGCACTTGCCAGGCAAGTGCTTATTCAACTGAGCTATCTCCTGGGTCCCTGTAGTAACATTCTTGCAAGTTTGTTTTTAAGAGCAAGTGAGATGATACAAGAAAATTTCCAGCACAGTGCTTGGCACATAGTTACTAAAAAATGCTAGCTCCAGGCTGTTTCTCTTACTATTTAACATGTAACCTGAGCACGTATCTTTCAAAAACCTGCATTCCAACTGCAGCTTTTTTTCTGGCAGCATTAATTAATTATCTGGGAACTTGTTAGCAATGTAAAATCTCAGGCTCCACTTCAGACATATCTCAGATCACATCAGATCAGATCAGATCTGCTTTTTAATTCCATGTATTCACTTTTCAAAAAAGAACACGGGGTGATTAGAGTTTAAGAAGTATGACTTTGGAATTTTTTTCAAATATTTTGTTTCACCTCTTTTTTTTAAAAGATTTATAACTTGTTTTGTTTTTTTAAAGAGAATAAAAATCAGTAAAAAATTTAGCAACAATACAGAATTTCACTAAGCAAAATGATAGAAACTCAACAATCATTGCCATATTGCGTATTGTTATGTTCAGATTAGTTGCTCAGATTACCAGATATCGGCATGCAAAATTGGTCAAAAAACTAAAAGCAGAAAAGTATTTCAGCATTAAATGTTCCTTTAATGATTAAATTTTTTCCTTCTTAGAATATTTATTCTTAAATCTAGATACACATTGGGATTAATTGTGAAGATTGTAAAAAGTATTGATGGCTGCTTCTCACGCACATAGCATGTGTTAGCAGGGCTTTGGGATGAGTCCAAGCCACGTTATTTATAAGATTACCTGCTTATTTTTGCTGGCAGGTTTGTAGAACATTGCTGTGGAATACAGGCTAAGTTCCACTTAAATGCTCTACAAACTTGCTCCTTTATGTTATTGAACAATCTTTTTGTCAACATAACATTTCTATTTTCTGATTTTTCAGATGAAACAAGATTTATCCCACATATTTCTTACCATATCCTTTTGTACTTATAAAACTAAACTTTGTCAGACCAACCAGATTATCATTTTCCCAAAGATAGAAGCACAGCTGTAGTTCTTGTATGTGCTGTTCAGAAGCCAATTCCATGCTAGGTTATGAAGCACTTGAATATTTAGGGTTATTTATTACGTCTTTTAACCATTCAGATTTTGAGGGACTATGAATCTCACATTACTGAATCCATAACATACATGTGTTGAAATAGTACACTAAACCCATTAATTAATCAATACATATCAATGAAATTTAAAGTAGAATAGTTCAAAATATGGTAAATAATACAGAAAAAACTGTGAATGAGGTGTTCTAATCCCCAAACTAATAATGGAAGATTCTCTCCATAAATAGAGAATTTTAAAAATGAAGACTAAATTTTCCAAAACTTTGAATTATGGTCTCATTTCATTTAATCAACAAGTATCTATGTAATGCCTACCTACTATATGCTAGGAGTTCTGGTATTCAGATACAAAAATTAACAAAAACAGAACAACTACTCTAAGTTCCCATTATGCTTCTAGTTAGTCCAGAAGGGTACAAACAGCACACAATACTTCATCTGTTATGGAAGCCAACTATACAGAACATGAATAAATCTTCATTCTCTTGTCCATCAAAACGTAAAGGACAAGAATACAAGGCACATATTTTCCTAATCTCCAATTTAGAATTTTCAAAATATTATGCCCTCAAACAAAGCAAAAACCTGGTTCATAAAATTCAATGAATGGAGAGCTCTACAGAATCTCTCCCTCTCTCTCTCTCTCTCTCTCTCTCTCTCTCTCTCTCTCTCTATATATATATATATATATATATGTATTTTAGGGAAGGGTCTACAGGGTGTTCAAGGTCTCACTACTAGATCACACTCCTAGTGATCCACCTGTTTACAGCCTCCCAAGAGCTGGGATTACATGCATGTGCCACCATGCCCAATCTCAGTTGCAATCTCAGTGCTTCCAGGGTGCAAGGCCAGCACTGCAGGCCCGGGGATCAAACCCCAGGCCCCTGCACGTGCTTGCAGGCCAGTATTTATGTTTTTGAAACTTGTGGTATACAGACTTTAAAATAACTGGGTAAAGTTCTCACTTAAAGGCCTCATTGTATTATTTTTTCGCACCACAACTGCCATTCGAACACCTCAAGGCACGAGAGAAATGTAGCATTGCTTCCTCAAAATCTATAAAGAGCCAGGGCCACCCAAATAGCTCAGCAGATTAAAGTGCCTGCTTAGGCAGAGTCTGATCTGTGTAGTGAGACCCTGTAGACCCTGTACTAAATACATAAAAAATAAAATAAAAGAGCATAAAATGAAAAAAAGAGACTACGACAAAGACAAAAATCCCAACTATCTGCTATTTCTGTGTAGGATGGTGAGCCAGAGAATAATATACTGAGAAAAATGGATGATTCTTGGAAACTTTTGAAGGCAAATTCTCTCCTGAAAGTACCTATGATCAAGTGATTGAAGTTTAACCAGCTATTAAAAACTCAACATCAATCTCAGCTATTAAAAGCTGAAGTACACAAAGAAAACAGAAATGAAAACCAGTTGAAGAAATTTAATTCCACTTAATGCCACCTAATTTGGGATAAGCTCAAGATGTTTCTGTATTTCAAAACATGAATTTATTCTTCATTATTTAATTTTCCTTCATATACAGAAGCATTCATATTAGTACATGAACTGATTATATATATGAAATCTGAACTACTAAACAGATAAATTACAATTTAAAATCAGCAAAAAATAGACACAATACAGAATTTCACTAAGCAAAATGATAGAAACTCAGCAATCATTGCCATATTGCGTATTGTTATGTTCAGATTAGTTGTTCAGATTACCAGATATCGGCATGCAAAATTGGCCAAAAAACTAAAAGCAGAAAGGTATTTCAGCATTAAATGTTCCTTTAATGATTATTTTTCTTCTTAGAATATTTATTCTTAAATCTGGATACACATTGGGATTAATTGGAAAGATTGTAAAAAGTATTGATGGCTGCTTCTCACACACATAACATCTGTTATAATTGCTTTGCGTTGAGCTAGTGTTGAAGGATAAAATCTTTTCACTTCTGTGTTCTCGTGATATATTGAATACATTTTTTCTTTTCCCATCATGAAATCAGCTCAATGTGTTCAAAACTTTGGCTTTATTTTTGCATAGACTCATTTCTTTAAAATCAGTTACTGTTTTCATTAAAATTCCCATCACGTTTCTGTGGTATTATGTTCCTCTTGTCACTCCACGTACATCAAGTTTTACTGCACACTGTTTTGCACCAAAAAGTTAGGAATGTGGTGATGGGGGTGACTCACTGCTTAGAAGAGGAAGTCATGAATAAAGGATTCATAAAACATCCTTAATGCCCTTAAAGCATCACAACTTAACACAGCATATAAAAGTCCACTGAAGATAATGAGCAAGTGAAGATTCTATACCACAGTGAGCCTGAGAATACTGTTCTAAAGTCAGACTGCTTGGATTCAAATCCTGACTATGACACATTTCTTCTGTGATCTTATTTAACTTGTCTTTGTCTAAAGAATTAGCTTCTCTATGTCTCAAGCCATGCCTCTGTAAAAATGGTACAGATGTTGTGAGAGCTAAATAAAACAATATTTTAAGTGTTTAATCACAGCTTGATCTATAGCAATTGTTGAATAGACAATTTTGGTATGTTTCTCAATATCTGTTCTCTTTTGTCTCTTAGTGAAACAGCTAGTGAGAATCATGATGATGCAGAATAAAGACTACATTTCTAATTATGACTACATTTCATAAGGAAGCATA